TCCTCTTTCCCCTCCTCTTTCCCCTCTTCTTTCCCCTTTCCCATCAGAAGCAGATAACACACATTAATTCCGGTTTCCCCAGGACTTATTGAAGTAGCAGAACAGTCCATTTGTGTTAACAGAGACATCCATGGACATCTAGCACTGGCTTAGAACATCTCCCCTCTGCCCTACTCTCTTATAGAGAGGAGAGCACAGGGTGACCCAATACCAGCAGCCAGCTCTCAGAGAAATCTCCTTTATTTCTCTTCTTTTYATAGCTGATTTATATAATCATTTCCTCAGCAGTCTTGTCCAGCCTGTATTTAATTAAACACATGAATCTTTATGATTCTTAGCATTATGCAGACCACTTAAATTTTTGTCAGTTGTAACTATGTTTGCAAACTCATGGACTGCACTGGTGGTTACTACAACCTGCACATCCAGGTGGTGCATCCTATTACTTGTACCCTGTGAAAAGTGCTTGTAACTTTGTGTTCCCATCTTCAGTTTCACTTATTAGGAAAAAAAAATCACACATAATTCTGTTTTTTTGTTTGTTTGTTTGCTAAGCAAACTCTTCAGACACCTGTTTTTTTTTCACTTGTGTCCTTGGTAAAGCTAAGAATCTAAGCAGCAAAAGCAAAACGTGTTGATTTGCATATTCTTGCTGGCCTGTGCCTACCTCTGATAGGAAAAAGTAATCTGTTTTTTGGTGTAACAAGTTAATTAAAGGGCATAAATAGGGAAATATTGGGAAGCAGACTAAATTATAAAGCTTTTTTTTTTTTTTTTTAACTTGTACTATGAAATGGCTTATTGCTGGAAGAGAGATCAGTTTATGTAGGAAGCATTGAGGTACCAGATAACTCGTCCAATTCTTAGTCTGTTTTTCTGTTCCCTACTGACCAGTGCTGGAAATAAGATTATAAATTAAGTGAATTTAGTTGAGTTCAGTCTGCCTTTCACTATATGTTTGTGATTTTTAGAGTGAATACTGGCAAGGAAGTCACACATGAGACAGCTTCAATACCTGGCTTTACGGTGGCTGTCAGTGGCATGTCAGCAGGCCTGAACTGTAAATGAGACACTTGTCAAAGCAGGTCACCACCTTTCCTCTTGCTGAAATGCYCTTCTCACAGTCTCAATAGTCTAAGAGCAAAAAACCATGAAAACTTACTACGCTAGAGTAAGGGTATTTCTCCTGTTGTTGAAATGCCCTTCTCCATTTCTCCCCATAGTGGTTTTTAAAGATTAGAGTCATTAATGTGAAGGCAGTGGAAGACAGTTTGTAACTTGGCACATTCTTCTTGTGGTCTAAGAAGCTACTGCAGTACTTATTTCCAGGATATAACCTGGAAAATATAGAGGAGATCATCCCGAAGGATGTTTGTTCCAGCTTTGTGTGCTTTTCTGTCTCAAGAAACTTTGGGAATATTAACAGAAAAATTGGCTAGAAAGTATCAGCCAGTGTTGTGTGTAGTTAAATTATATACCAGTATCTCTGTAATTTTTCTATTCACAGTGAACCCAGGAGTTTCCAAATTTCAAATTCTTGCTTGAAGCTTGTACCAGGTTGCTGTCTCTGCTTCCAGTTATTACTAAAATAATATCAGAAGTAGGTAAATTCTTCACATCTGCTTCAGCATCACCAATCACAATTCAGAGAGCAGTGATAACTTATGGAACAAGTGTAATGCTAGTGGCATATGTTCTCTGCTGTAGAGAGGGGTTTTTTTTCTGTCAATAAGCACAAAAACTACTATAATCCTATGATTTGTTAAAGACTCGTGCATGACTTTTTTATTAAGAAGATCATTTGTTTTCTTTTGTTCATGTATCAGCTGCTTACTGAAACAGGGCAGACGGCTAACAGTTCCAATCCTGGATGCCCTTTCCCGTTTGGATCTTGATGCAGGACTTCTGGCTGAGGTAAGAGAGTTTTACTTGCAAGGCTGACCAGGACACAGCCTCTCCTAAGCAACATGAGAGCTGCTCTAGTCACTCAAGGTATTTTGCTAAATCTGATGCCTTCGGGCCTACAGATGTCCACAGTTAAGCTGGAAAACAACAAGCAAAGCAAAAATTATTTTCAGAAGCATGTGAGGGACTCACTGAGGGGCAGAGAAAGGTTTTTGCCTGTTACTGTGTGCACTCAGAAATTTCAAAAATAGCTTTCTTAGCAAGTGCAACAGCAATTTTTTTTTTCTGCTAGAATGAATGACTGCAACCAGCTTAAACCCACTCATTATCCCCRTTTTTGTATTTGTTATTTTTATTTTGAAGTACAGCGAACAGACTAGAGTACTGTATTCTTAAGCAAATGCAGGCTGTTGTTGACATTGTTGCATGATCATAGTTTTTCTCTGCAGAATGAAGACCAAGTAGAAGAGYAGAAGAGCTCTTGTGCCTTTTTGCTTCTGAACATGCTAGAATATTGAACTCTGTGCATTTGGCCTTATGTGTAGAATAAAATACTGTTTTACCTAGGTCACARGGACTAGTGCTCTGTAGAATTCTACACCACTTCCATGTTTTTCGCTTCTGAAAGACAGTTAAAAGATGATGAAGCTGAGCTTTTCTTGGCAGGGCCAGSTGATATGCTAAGGGGCAGTGGTCACAAATTCGAACCTAGAAGGTTCAGGTTGGACCTTAGCAAAAATATTTTCACCAGGAAGGTCTTCAGGACTGCAACAAGTTCTTAGAGAGCTGAGGTATCTCCCTCTGTGAAGATCTTCAAGACTCAACTACACAAAGCTAAGGCCAATGTGATTGGCACTATTCTTACTCTGGAAAGATGAGTGGTGAATAGCCTTCCAGAGGTCTCTTCTTACCAAAATATCTATGTTTCTGTGAACCACCTTCTTACAGCTGACCCACTTTTGCTCTCTCCTCAGGTGCGTCAGTCTGCCATGACAATTGTACCTTCTGTAAAGCTGGAAGATTTACCTGTTGTAGTCAGATTCATCCTCCATAATGTCAAGGCTGCAGATGCAGCAGAGGTACAATAGTCATTCTGTGCTAAAAAGAAATAAGGGGTCTAATCCAATGTGTGTTTTGACAGAGGTCAGTTGCTTCAGGCACAGGGTCGTACACTTTAATATTTCCAAGTAGCATTTTTAGTATTGCCAAACATAGTGGAAACTACGTCTGTCTTTTTTTTGGTGTGGATTTGGTTGTGCCTTCAGGCATTAGAATTGCAACACCCTCCATTTTGCTGATTTACAAATTCTGAGAGGTTTTAATTCTTTTTTTTTCAGTGTTCAGTCTTAMCTGAAAGTAGTCCAATTATAATGGGTTCAGATCTTAGACTAAAAACCTGTGGTTGGGTGGAAACTTTAAACCTTTGAATTTTGTCAAAAAAATTTATCTCTTTAGCCCTCTTAAGAGGTTTAAATTCCAGAAGTATTGGAAAGACCTAGGATAGGAATTTGATAATTCTGGTTTGGTTTTTTTCTACCGATATCTGTTCTAAATCATATTTTGAAAACCTTCCCACAAAGGGTGATTCAGCTATTAGAGAATTTTTCAGTTGCGATTTTAAGCCTCCTCTGTTTTTGGAGTTGTTTATCTAAATAAAACATATTCAGAATATTTTAAAAATGAGCCAGATATGTTTTGGAATGCAGCCTTGCTGAACTATTGAAAATGCTTGCTCCCTGCCCGTGCCCCACCCCCCCCACCCACCCATCAACTTAAGCCAGATGTAGGATATGATCTGCCCACATCTTTCATGGAAACCACTGTGAAAACATGATGGATATAGGTGGGAATTTTGTGGAATAAATTTTAAGAAATCTTCCTCGTGACCTGATGGTGCTGACCGGAGTGCTTGCTAATTCACTCTTAAAATAAAAATTACTGAGTGTGGTTGAATGYTTCTGAGTATTTACAAATACATTAGTTCTGGATGTGTAAATCGAGGGTTATTCTATAGAGTTCTATTTTTTTTCCTCAACCAATTTTGCCTCTTTTCTCATAAGTCCTAGTGATTTGTATGGGACTTGTATTCTACAGGTGATTTCTGATCTTCGTAAGAACTTGGATCTGTCATCGTGCATTCTGCCGCTGCAGATCCTTGGTTCCCAGAAGAAGCTTAAAAGCCAAGTTCCAGCCAGGTACTCAAGCTTACTTGCATGAATCTTCAAGGGTAAGATAGGACAAGAGGACTTCAGCTTTTCTCTAGCTGATCTCTCAGGCACACCTAGTTACACACTTGAACCTCACTTGTAACTGTTCACTACTGGTTCTGACACCTCTGTTCCATTCTACTTGGTGCTAATTTCCCTATTCTTTTGAGCCAGCTGCCTCTGTGTTTGCACAGGGTTATACAAGTCCATCTGCAATAATTTTGCTGACTGCTCATCTCTTTACATGCCCTGCAGTACATCACTTGTTCGTGCTGTTACCTCTGCTCCCAGCCTCTTCAAAATTCTCTTCTGAAACACCCTGTCCTTGCCAAAACACTCCTTTTAGGGAAGCTTTGCTTTAAGTAACCACTGTGATGTTAGGCTAACTTGTTCCTTTTACTGCAGTATTCACAGTAACAGCCGCCTCCTTTTGTTTACAGTTCTTCCATGAGCCAAGTAGCCACGAGCCAGAATTGTGTGAAGCTCCTTTTTGATGCAATCAAATTAGCTGTGAGATTTCAGAAAGATGTCTCTGAAGCTTGGGTTAAGGTCAGATGAACGTTTAGTCTTTTCTTTACCTTATGTAGTTGAATGCCTAGGTTGAGTCTGAACCCTTCCTGTAATTAAATGTGGTATCAAAAGATGGATGTTCCCCATTTGTTTCACTCATAAGAGATTTCATTTCATGTTCCAAATTATCTCTGCCTTTTTCAAGAGTCCACTGTCTTCCCCAGTTACGTATTTCAAAGTGTCTAGTAGCTTTCAAGACAACTGCTGGGCACTGTTRCTCCTGCCCTCTACAGACCTCCAAACTTGAAGTGCAAGATAAGCTTGAGTCTACAGATTTAGGAGAAAATTKTCTGGAAAAATCACTTTAAATATTTTTTTTATCTGCATGAGAACAAAAATGTTGAGACTGATCTTTGTGACATATTTAAGATCCTTGAGAATGAATGTTGGCTGGCATTGGGGTGAATTTAATTTTTAAATTGCATTTCATTGTAAATTGTAAGAGTGCATCATGTTCTCAGCCTTTTATTATTCAGTACCTTAGGTGCCTTTTCAAGCTTGATATTTTTGGGGCTGTCCTTGTTCAAGCTGAAGATTCACACWCTTTTTCTGGGAGCTGGATTCTTTATTATTGGCAAGGCTTTGTTTTCTATTTTGTAGAGAAGAGAAGCATGTGAACAATATTTCTCCTGGTCTACCTTTTTTGATTTGTCTTCAGTGCCTTATTTCCATTGTTTAACACATGAGGTTTGAAATGTAGTATTGTACTTTAGTATACAATATAAGTATACAATATAAGTWTAATAAGGCTTTTTTCTTTTCTTCCCTAGGCTATTGAGAACAACATGTCTGTATCTGACCATAAGGTAACACTTCTGACTCTGTACCTGTCCTTGGGAGTGAGTGTGCCTCACTGTCGGTGTTCGCAAGGGCTTTTTCCATGATTGCTTTGATTTTATAGTTAGAGCAGGAACTGCCATTGACGTTGCAAGGATGATTCTGTTGTGTTTGGGTGTTTGGGTTGTTTCCAGTAGAACAGCCATCTTCCCCCCCCCCCCCGCTAACTCTTAACTCATGCCTTTAAAGCCCAAAGGACAGACTTATCCTGTCTGGATCCTGTCTTGTTGACCTCTGAGTTTTTCCATGGTTGTGTCTGCTAGAGAGATRGATTTTGAGCTCTTGATTTTCTTCTTAGTTTTAATTTCATAGTATATAGTGCTGTAGTCTACTTCATGTCATTTCAGCATAACAATAGGCTGTTATTTCCTGTGGAAAGGTTCTAGATCTGATAGTTCTGCTCCTAATTCACTCTACAAACACCAAGAACAGGAAGCAAACTGAGAAAGTTTTGAGGAGCAAAATTCGACTTGGTTGTGTGCCGGAACAGCTGATGCAGAAGGCCTTCCAGAATCATTCTCTGGTCAGTGCTTCCTCTGCTTCGGGACTCGCCCTTCTCTTTTTAGCCCTCAAATATCTTTTCAGATGATCATTTAGCCCAGTACTGCATTATATGCCCCAGTTGCTGCAGTTTGGTAACTGAGCTATCTCTAGAAACATGTGTCCCCTATTGCAACAGCCCTGTGGTTTTATATAGTTAAGCCCTCCTTAGAACTGGATGGGCTTCTTACTTGATGCAAAAGCTCTTGACCTTGATGTGCTCCCTACTTTGTGCTCCTGTGTCCTGTGATATTTTTATAAGTTCATATGTTTGTTTGCAGTTTTTTTCAAGTACAATATTTTCTAGGGCTACATGTGACTATGTATTGGGTGTATGTTTATGTAGTACTATGAGAAAACTGAAAAGTTAACTTAAATTTTGCATAGTATTTTAATGTAATTTTATTCAGCGGTCTGTTGTTGTGAAAAGACCTCCCTAACATCACCACAAGTGACATGCTGTTGTGAGGTCTACAGCATTGCAGATTGGCCTTGGGAAACCCTTTCTTGTGTGCCTTATCTGTTCTTGTGGCCATTTTTGCTAGAAAAGACAGGAAGAGGATTGGGGAAAACACCTTTTGGACTAGAGAAAGTCTTTCAAGRTGAAATGTAGCACCCTCTTTCCATCCGAGCTGAGAGCGTTGAAGACAAGCAGCAATCATCCTTCCTCTTCTGTGTATTTCAGGTCATCAAAGACTTCTTCCCTTCGATCCTAGCCCTTGCCCAGATGTTCCTGCCCTCGACGCACCCCGCCATGGTTTCCTTTGGCAGCTGCATGTACAAACAAGCATTTGCAGCCTTTGACTCTTACTGTCAGCAGGTGTGGCAGGACGGATGGCATCTGCTTTCTTTGGTTTCACTTTATCACAGCACATAAGTCATGATCCTTTAGGTAGAGAGGACTGGAGGTGGGAGGAAACTTTTGGAGAGCTGTAGAGAAGTCCGAGCAGAAGTTGAGGAAGAATCACAGCAAGGCTGTGGTAGCTAGAAACTCAAGCACAGAGACTGCTGAGGAGCAGACAGCAAACAGGCAGGCCTCAGAGGTGGTGGAAAGAGAAAAACTCAAGGTTCAGGGGGTACCATGCTGGCTACCCAAAAAGCAATCGAGGTGTCTGAGATCTAGCTTGGAGGCCTGACTAGCCTACAAGGTGGCAGTGAGCAGAGTTTTCTTCATAAATTCTTATTTCTACCTTATTTAGCCTGCTGTGAACTGAGGAAGGAGTTAGAATTATGTCAGTTCTGTTTTGCTATGATTATCTGTAGTCAATCCATTTAGTTTACATAGGCAAACCTGGGCAAACCTCTTTTTCTTGATATTTTACTACGCTTCTTTTCCTTTCTTTTTCCCCTAGGAAGTGGTGAGTGCTTTGGTGACCCACGTGTGCAGTGGAAATGAGGCAGAAGTGGATGTCTCTCTGGACGTGCTCACGGATTTGGTGGTTCTGCATCCGTCCCTACTGATGCGATATGCCACCTTTGTGAAGGTAAAGGATGTTTCCTGGGGGCAGGCTGCATTTCAGGACCCTGATTCTAGATTGTCCCAGCTCCAGAAGTCATAAATGCTTTTTAGAAACAGAGCAAGCTAACTGTTGGGAGAAATGAAGAGGTAAGAAAAGTGTCTGCTATTAAAGGGCGTCATGTGAGATAGGACTGTGATTTGTTTTTCTGACTGTAACCTATGATACATGGAAATTTTATTCTTTTAGGTTTGTTTTTATTAATATCGGCTATTGCAAATACTTGACAGAAGCCTGTCTCCCTTGCAACCTGTCCTGKTGCCTTCTCTGCCATGCTGAAGGGTTGCCAATACTTTTGAATCGTAATACAAAGCTTATGGTGGGGACAGGAAAGGACTCGTGCCTAAAAACTGAAAAGAAGGCAGTACCCAATGGGGAGAATTTTTTTTTTTCGTTCCTTTTTCTGAGGAGAATGACCAAGTGTAGAGTCAGGCCTGCCAAACAGTTTGTTTCCAAAAACAGTAAAAAGTGGAGGTGCTGGGGGGAACAGAATAGCAACACAAGGACATAGTGTTACTTTCTGTGGATACTCTCCCATCTGTGATGATTTAAATACCTCCTATATTTAAGAGTCCTTAATGGGTATGAGTGCATATATTTCCTGCTACTTTGGGCTTGTTTTTGAGCCCATTTGATGGCAGGAGATTAGGCAGTTTAAGTAGGCACTGTGAAAGCTGCACACTTGCTTCATGTGTGAATGGTTGATTTTTAAATTTAAATTGCTTGATTAGCCTGTGCTAAAACACCATTCAGGTCTGCCATAAGAAATCACATGCACTCTGTGGCACATTCGATCCCTAAAGCGAGGGAGAAATGGGACTTACCTCATCCTCCCTCTGCCTGGAGGCAGGCAAGGACAGAGATTTGAAAGGAGGTCTTCAAAAGAGGCTCTCCTCAAATTTGTGCTCTGTAGGGAAGAGCTTCTTGAAGTGCAGGGAAGGGCTTCTTGAAGTGTTTAAGGCAGTTTGTGGTTTCTCTCTTACAGACCATTTTAGACTCTACACAAAAACTGAATCCATGCCAAATCCGTAAGCTTTTCTACATTCTCAGCATGCTAGCATTCAGCCAGAGGCAAGAAGGGAGCTACATTCAGGTGAGCAGAGAGAAAAGGGGAAGAAGTTTAGGCTGTGTGTGAGCAGAGGAATGTCTTTGAGTAGATGGTTTGGATGTTTCATGATTTTTTTTTTCCTTGAAATGTCTGCTTTTAAAATCTTCCTGCTAGTTGTGGGTATGTTTGTRCACACTTGCCTGAGACCCCAAAGGAAAATCTTTCAGTATCTTGGAGACTGTGCTCTTGTTTCTCCTCTGTTCCTGCTTGGTCTGTGGCACGTAATATGCAGCAGGTCTGTGGCGACCTGCTCACTGGAGCTCTCTGCTGCCCAAGGTTTTCAGCTGCTTGGTGGGTTTAACTCCTCACTTGAACTGCTGTCCTCTGTCACTTTGCCCCAGGTCTTGTGATTTTGCCCAAGTTCTCGTGAATGACATCTGGACCAACTACACGCTCTGTGTATTAATTAGGGCAAAACAAAGCAAGCTATTTTTAATACTGTTGGCAGCCTTATCTAGAGATGTTAACATTTTCATGATAAAGGGCATCACGAAATGTGCTTTCTTATTATTGGGATTACAGCTTTGTAGACAATCTTACAGCCTTTGGAGATGACATTAAGTGAAGCTGTTGATAGCACTGGCACTGATGCACATGAGTACCTGTGTGGTGACCGTCTGTGTCTTCCTCTTTAGGATGACATGCACATGGTGATCAGGAAATGGCTCTCCAGCACTGTTCCTAACCATAAACAAATGGGGATTATTGGTGCCGTTACCATGATAGGCAGCATGGCATTAAAAAGGTGAGAGGGAATGTAAAAAAAACCTGAATTGAATGTGCTTTATGACCATGCTTGGTGTGGAGGAACCAAGTGAAGGGGGTGTTGCCTTCTAGCTTAGGCAGTTCTTCATCACATCCACTAGTTTAAAAGTCTTTTCTTGCAGTGATTTTTATTGCAGCTTGGTCAGTAGTGCTGTCCTGCTGTAAAATTYGAAAGCATCTGTAATTTCTTATTAATGCTTTTTGGTGGATATCTTCACTGGCACCAGCAATGCCAGCTGGTTCTGTTTCTTAGAAACGGGTCTGGACACTAGGATGCACTGCCTGCAGATCAGTTTCTGACACTTGGGCTGCACAGCCTGATGTGCTCCGTGTTTCAGTGCAGGGAAATCTAAAACAAAAGTGAGAAGAAAGACTGTCACTGCTGTGCTGGGCACTGGCATGACAATTTCTGAAGTGCTATATTAATTATTGATGAGCAGTGTTGATAAACCAGTCAAGCTGTGGCATAGATTAAAGCACTTGGAGCATAAAGAGTTGACTAGTGTTGGGAAGCCTCATTTAATTCACTCATTTTCTGTTTCTTTATAAAACACTTTTGCTGATTATTACACAGACTGAAAAACATATGTTAGCTCTAGCTCTGCTTCGTGGACCTCCTGATGATTGCTCTTATAGCACTGACCTGGATTTGCTGACTTAGAGGCCCTAGTTTAAGTCTCAGATTTTGAGAGGAGATGTAGAAAATCCTCAAATGTAGACTACAGGCAAAAGGAGAAAACAACAACAACAACAAAAAGAAAAAAAGGAAGAAAATCTGTATAGAAACTATCTGATCTGTGGACAAATTCCTTCCCAGTTCCCAGCCTGATCCAAGTATGTGGGGAAATTGTCTGTGCTGGTACTTGAGAAGGATCTTTGCAGCACTTTGGTCTTGCTGTGCTTTACTCAGCATTCTCTCAGATTTCTTAGAAACAGACTGGAGGAGAGGGGCTTCATGCCAAATTATCAGAGGAAAAACTACCCTTCCGAACCCTGCGAGTAAACAGCAGGAACATGGTTAGTTGTCCAAATGTACCCCTGTAGGTAATAGAAACAAACTGATGGGAAGGTGAAGCACTATGGCATTTGGAAGAGGTAATGACTAGAGGACTAAGGTTCCCATAGGTTTCAACAGGTTAGAAAGGAACAATCCCTGAAAACAATTTATGTCCTGAAACAATAGCAGGTCTTTCCATAATAATATTCCAAAGTGCATCTTTTTTTTTGTGTGTGTGTGCAATTCTTCAGTTTTTGGAGAGGGAACCCTGTGTGTGTGTGTGAGTTGGTTTTGCCCTAAGCAAAGCAAAAATTATCATCTGCTTTCAGAAACGAAGGAGATGGTTCACTGGAGAGATCAGAGCTGAACAGTGAGCGCGACGGGCAGGTGAGTGCCACTAACGGATATGTGCTGCAGACATTGTAGGAGAAAGGGAAGAGATACAGAGCTTTGACTGGAGACATARCCTCGGCAAAGAAATGCAGGTCTGTTGGGATTTAGATCTAGTGGGCCTAGGATTGTTGCATGGTGCTGCACAGCCAAGAAACTGTGAAAATGGCTTTAGAGAAATAAGGTTCTATATTTAGGTAGTGCTCACTGGCCTTGCCAGCCCAGGACAAGCAGTACTATAAACATCTAATGCAAGTCTCCAGTCTAGACTTCATTTCAAATGTAAATGAGAGAAATGGGAAAATCGGGCTCATAAGTGAAAGACAACTTCTGCCTTTCCCTGAAGTTGGCAACAGTACAGCAAGGGTCATCCAGAGATATCGCTTTCCCTGTATAGGATAGGCCTAGGCATATTTTTCCTTAATTCTGTTAGAACCATCTTCTAGGGCTGGTGTCCTATTTAAGGAGGGCTCTGGGTAGATTCCTGTGTATTATTGCATGGTAGGTCATAGCCAGGTCCTTAAAAGCCCCGTATTCCCTATGAAAAAGGGGTCTCTGTAAGACCTTATGCCATGGACTGTTACCCAAGAGCTGGAGCAATTTGATATCTGCAGGGTCAATTAATTCAGCAAGGGTAGGGAATCAAGGTAAATGCCTCAGTCTGTCCATATATCATACCCATCTGTGTAGGCTGTTCTTTCTCTTTCAGCTTTCTACATTGTTGGACCTTGTGGGTTTCTGCTGTGAGCAAACACCAGAGGCCTTGGCTTTGTACTATGATGAATTTGCCAATTTGATTGAGAAGCAGAAGGGCAATTTGGACCTGCAGCTCCTGGTACGTGTGGTTTAGAGTGGTTTGAACGTAGTCACTTAAATGAATTCCTCAAAGATGCGCTTTTCAGGTGTTAGTAGGATGGGATCAGTCTGAGGATTTCACTGCAGTCTGAGAATGCAGTTGAAATTCACAGAAAAAAAGAAGGTGAAAAATGGAAGAATTTTCAACTTGGTATTGAAATTGGCTTTTGGGCAGCCAGTTGAGGTTGTCTGCTGTCTAAGTACTTGGAAGATTCACAGTGAGGAACTACAACAATAGGAAGAAATTTGCAGAGGCCACTGGGCATCTCTTCCATTTTGCTCAGAACTCTTTGTATGTGTGCTATGCCTGCCAGAAGGGTAGAAAGTCATCTTGGGGYGAAGAGGAGCATGAGAACTGTTGCAGAATTGGTCTCTATCAGTGGCATCAGGCTTTACAGTGGCACAGCACCACTTTGCACCAGCTGGTTGCAGAGGAGGGTAGTATGTTTTAGTGTGAGAGAGTTGTGTAATGCTGACAGTCACTCAAAGTAGCTGTGAATCTGAGGCTCAAAATGCCAGTCTCCTGAAATGTAGCTGGTGCACAATTTCTTTGGTCTTTCCATAATTTGTTTGTCCTGTCTCTGTCATACCCGTTGATTTACATCTCCCATAACTGATGCTAACAATATAAGTGAATAAAGTATGTGGAAAGTATGTTTCATTATGTGAAACAAAACTTTGTCAGCACTTCATAGCTCTTCACCCTGATCATCAGTTCCTGGGACAGAGAACTCTCTCTAACTGCTTACCTCTCTCAGCTGCCTGCTCTGCTTTTCTGTCAGAAAAAGACTGGAGAGCTCCTGGGCAAGTGCAGCCCTGAAAAGCAGGGAAAATATTGGTTGTACATCCTTGGTAATGTTTCCTAGTTTTTTTCCTAAAGTTTTGTTCCTAATATTTTCCTAGTTTTTCCTAGTCTCTGAAGGACAGGCCCTGCTTCTCCTTACAGGCTGTTGGAATTGACTGCTCCAGGGCAGTTTTGCTTGGCTTTGTCTTCTGCATTTTCCAGCACTGCTGTTTTAGCTTTTTGTGCTAAGCCTGTTTGCTGAACAGGACTTTTTCTCTCTTTATAGGACCAGTTTGGAAAGAGTTTGGTGGAGGACTTTCCCAGTGACTTTGTGGTAGATCTCAGCCCCACAGTGGATGGGTATGCTAAAAGCAAGCTCAGTGTTACTGGTGTTTCTTTTATTGAGAACTGTGTTTATCAACCTGATCATCTCCTTGACTAATTTTTGTCCTCGTTCCCTGCAGTACGTTCTTGTTCCCATTGAAGTCTTTGTATAATCTGGATGAAGATGAAAGTCAGGGAGCAATTGCTATTAACCTCTTACCACTGGTGGCACAGAGTGAGCTCGGCAGGGTCAACGACGGAGTGGGTAACCCAAGTAAAAGGTACTTTGACACTTGCACTTTGGCGTCATTTCATAGTTAAAGAAGTTGTGTTTTCATTGGTGCCATGTGCTGTGTACCACCCTGCCTCTCAAAATGTCTCATTGGGACATGGGTGGAGAAATTAAGTTTCCCGTGGTTTTGTTTTTTTCCTCTTGTTAGACATGTCCAGATAGGTCCAGAGGCATATGTGTGTGACTGGGAACTAGCAGTCYGTTCTGTCTCAATCTGTCTAGGTAAACTAAGCAAGAAGGGAGAAGGGGAGTGCCACATGAACTGGGCAATCAATCCATCACAACCTAAGTCAACGGGCATCCAACAGGCATATGGTGATGGGGAAGTACGGCTTGGACATGATTATAGAGGGTCTTCTTTCACACCTCCTGGGAAAAGTTCAGGCTCAATTGCCTCTCTGAAATGCCTATACACCAATGTGCGAAGCATGGGGAATAAGAAAGATGAACTGGAGATCTGCGTGTGGTCCCAGCACCACGATCTCATAGGAATCACAGAAACATGGTGGGATAGCGCTAACGACTGGAGTGCTGTCATGGAGGGCTATGTGCTCTTTAGGAAGGACAGGCTGGGAAGGCGAGGTGGTGGAGTTGCTCTGTATGTGAGAGAGCAACCGGAGTGCATGGAGCTCAGCCTGGGAGTGGATGTTGAGTGGGTGGAGAGCTTGTGGGTAAGGCTTGAAGGGCAGGCTAACCTGGGAGACACTGTGGTGGGTGTCTGCTACAGGCCACCTGACCAAGAGGAGGAGGTTGAGGAGGCCTTCTACAGGCAGCTGGAAGTTGCCCCACGGTCACAGGCCCTGGTTCTCATGGGGGACTTTAACTACCGCGACAACTGGAAAGACAGCACAGCAAGGCACAAATGGTCCTGGAAGTTTCTACAGTGTGTCAATGACCACTTTTTGACGCAGGTTGTGGAGGAGCCGACGAGGAGGGGTGGGCTGCTGGACCTCGTACTAACAAACAGAGAGGGCCTTGTTGGAGATGTGAAGGTGGGGGGCAGCCTTGGCTGCAGTGACCACGAGCTGGTGGAGTTCAAGATCCAACGAGGAGGAGGCAGGGCAGTAAGTAGCCTTGCCACGCTGGACTTCAGGAGGGCCAACTTTAGCCTCTTCAGAGACCTTCTGGGAAAGATCCCATGGGCTAGGGCTCTAGAAGGAAGAGGGGCCCAGGAGAGCTGGTTAGTTTTCAAGCGACATTTCCTCCATGCCCAGCAGCAGTGCATCCCTGTGCGTAAGAAGTCAGGCAGAGGGGGCAGGAGACCTGCATGGATGAGCAGAGAGCTCTTGRCAAAACTCCAGCAGAAGAAAGCAATATATAGAATGTGGAAGAAAGGACAGGCCACTTGGGATAAATACAGGAACGTTGTCAGGGAATGCAGGGATGCAACAAGGAAAGCTAAGGYACAATTGGAATTAAATCTGGCACGTGATGTTAAGAGTAACAAGAAAAACTTCTTCAAATATATCAACAACAAAAGGAAGGTCAGGGAGAACGTGGGTCCACTGGTGAACAGGGTGGGTACCCTGGTTACGAAAAACACGGACAAAGCAGAGCTGCTGAATGCTGCCTTTGCTTCTGTGTTTGTCAGGGGCAGCCCTCTAGAATCCCAGGCCCTAGGGACACATGAAGCAAGCCAGAGAGAGGAAGGCTTGCCCTGGGTAGAGGAAGAGTGGGTCAGAGAGCATCTAGGGAGCCTCGACACCCACAAATCCATGGGCCCTGATGGGATGCACCCTAGACTGTTGCAGGAACTGGTGGATGCCATAGCCAAGCTGCTCGCCATCATCTTCGGAAGGTCCTGGAGAACGGGGGAGGTGCCGGAGGACTGGAAGAAAGTCAGCGTCACTCTAGTCTTAAAAAAAGGCAAGAAGGAGGACCTGGGCAACTACAGGCCGGTGAGCCTCCCCTCCATCCCTGGAAAAGTGATGGAACAGCTCATCCTGGCTGCTGTCTCCAGACACGTGGAGGAGAAGAGGGTGCTTAGGAGTAGCCAGCATGGGTTTGCCAAGGGGAAATCATGCTTGACTAACCTGATCGCCTCCTACGATGGAGTGACTAGCTGGGTAGATGAGGGCAGAGCGGTGGATGTCATCTATCTGGACTTGAGCAAAGCTTTTGACACCGTCCCTCACAGCATCCTCCTGGGCGAGCTCCAAAGGTGTGGGATAGATGAGTGGATGGGAAGGTGGATTAGGAATTGGCAGGGTGCAGAGACTGGTAGTCAGTGACGTGAAGTCCAGTTGGAGGTCTGTAGTTAGCGGTGTCTCCCAGGGGTCAGTGCTTGGTCCGGTCAAGTTCAACTTATTCCTTAATGACCTGGATGAAGGGCTGGAGTGCTCCCTCAGCAAGTTTGCTGCTGATACCAAACTGGGAGGAATAGCTGATAGTCCTGAGGGCTGGGCTGCCATCCAGAGGGACCTGGACAGACTGGACAACTGGGTGATGAGAAACCACATGAAGTTCAACAAGGGCAAGTGCAGGGTCCTGTACTTGGGGAGGAATAACCCTGGACACCAGTACAGATTAGGGGTGGACCTGCTGGAGAGCAGCCCTGCAGAGAGGGACCTGGGTATTGTGGTGGATGACAAGATGAGCATGAGGCAGCAGTGTGCCCTGGTGGCCAAGAAGGCCAACGGGATCCTGGGGTGCATTAAGAAGAGCATCTCCAGCAGGTCGAGGGAGGTGATCATCCCCCTCTACTCAGCCCTGGTGAGGCCACATCTGGAGACTGTGTCCAGCTCTGAGCACCCCAGTACAAGAGGGATGTGGAGCTGCTGGAGAGAGTCCAGCGCAGGGCTACGAGGATGATCAGAGGCCTGGAACATCTGCCCTGTGGAGAAAGGCTGAGAGAGCTGGGTCTGTTCAGCCTGGAGAAGAGGAGGCTGAGGGGCGACCTGATCAGTGTCTTTAAATACCTCAAGGGAGTGAGTGAGGAAGAGGGAGCAGCCTGTTTTCAGTGGTGGACAGCGATAGGACTAGGGGAAACAGCCACAAGCTGAGGCACCAAAAGTTCCACAGGAACTTAAGGAAAAATTTCTTGACAGTGAGGATGACAGAGCCCTGGAACAGGCTGCCCATAGAGGTTGTGGAGTCTCCTTCTCCGGAGATCTTTAAAACCTGCTTGGACACAACCCTGTGCCACGTGCTCTAGTAGATGACCCTGCGTGTGCAGGGGGGTTGGACTGGATGACCTCTGAGGTCCCTTCCAACCTTAAGCATTCTATAATTCTATGATTCTATGATCTTGAGTAGATAATATTGTGTCTCAGCTTTGTGTTCCATCTGTCAGATGAGACGAATGTTTCTTCTCTATCAAATAGCTCTTTCTTCTAACGTTAGTGAAATAGTAGGCACCATGATTGATGCCATATTGAGTGGATAGGCAACTCTGAAGTGGCAAAATTCATTTTTTGACTAGTGATTCTTGAGCATAGTCACCAAAGACTTAGTGTGTGTTAATAGCAAATGCTTTGGGCAGAGAGGAACCTTGTGAAGTTTAACAAAGGGAAGTGGATAGTCCTGCACCCAAGGAGGAGTAAACCCATGCACCAGCACAAGCTGGGGCTGACCAGCTGGTGAGCAGCTTTGCAGAGAAGACCCTGGGGCCCTGAGGGGCAACGAGATTAACATGGGCCAGCAATGTAGCCTTGTTGTGAAAGAGGTCAGCTGTATCCTGGGCTGTGTTAGGAAGTGTTGCAAACAAGTCAAGGGAGGTGTTCCTTCCCTCTGCTCAGCACCGCTGAGGACATACCTGTACATCACATGTGTACACACATCTGTAATGYTGTGCCCAATTCTGGGCTCCACAGTGCAAGAAAGACATGGACCTGCTGGAGCAAGGCCGAAAAAGGCCCCAAAGATGATGAAATACCTGAAGCTTCTGTCATACGAGAAGAGCATGAGGAGCTGGGACACTTAAGCCTAGAGAAGAGAAGGCTCAGGGAGAATCTTACAAATGTTGATAAATATACGACAGGAGGGTGCAAAGAAGATGGAGCCAGACTCTTCTCAGTGGTGCCCAGTGACAGGACAGGAGGCAATGAGTGCAAACAGAAACAGGAAATTCCATCTGAGTATAAGAAAACACTACTTTGTTGCGTGGGTAGCTCACCACTGGAACAGGCTGATGAGAGGCTACTTCGAGATATTCAAAAGCCAACTGGGCACAGTCCTGGGCAACCTGCCTGAGGAGACTCTGATTGAGCAGGACCAGAATTGGATCAGATGATCACCAGAGGTGTCTTCCAACCCCAACTATTCTGTAATTTATTCTCACCCTTCAGTTAAACCTGAAGGCTTTGTGGTTGGGAGATGGAGTAAGACGTAAGAACAACGTAAGAAATACAGGCTAAGAAGCTGAGAAATACAACCTCTAATGAAACAATAAGGTGGCAAAGTTAAAAATAATGAAAGGGTTTTTTAGCTGCTACTTTCACATCCTGCAGAATTTATTGCCACAACATTTGGTTGAGATTTAGAAAAAAGAACATGACTATTTTATAACAGTAACAAAAGAAATACAGCTACTTTACTTGCATCTATGGAAAAATATTAATTTTCCTCACTCAAAGTGTGAATTTTGTTGATTTGTTGATGGTAGATTTTTTTTCCTTGTCCATTGGGATCAAAGCCAAGGAAAACAACTTAAATTTGGTGCATTTCTGGTGTGCACTGCTGGGACTTTCAAAAAAACAAAATAAAAGGCACAGACAAGGTGCTATGGAAGGACAAGGAGCACAAGGGTAAGTGTCCTGAATGCACATAAAAACATATGACCTGTTCCACATTTTTTTTTCTTCCAGGATAGTATCACCAATATGTTTGTCACCCTCTTTCCGACTGCTGAGACTCTACACTGGAGAGCAAAACAATGGGAGCCTGGAGGAGATCGATGCCTTGTTAGGTAGGAGAAATGGGCTTCTAGCAGAGCCCATCTGATTTATTGTCACAGATCTTCAAGGACATCCTGTAGTCCTGGGAAAACTCATGTGTTTTGTGAAGGAAGGTCAGGAACTCTGGTGTCTCCAAAGTGGATGAAAGGCAAAAGAGACAACTGCTCTGTTTGGGAGTGGCGTGACTGGRTTTACTATCAACAGTTATTGGCATTGAAACAGGCACCAAGAAAATAATCACAAAAGACTGAAGCATCAGAGTAGGGTGAGCAAAACCATCCAACTCATTCTTTCTTGCTTTTTGCCCAGGTTGTCCCCTCTATCTGACTGACCTGGAGGTTGAAGGGAAGCTGGATTCTCTCTCCAAGCAGGAAAGGGAAATTCTGTGCTCGCTTCTGTTCCATGCACTCAACTGGTTCCGTGAGGTGAGTAGACTTGGTCTAGAGTCCGGCCTGGAGGTTTGGAGTGGCACTGAGGAGTAACGCTTAGGAACGTAACCCTGGACCTCAAAGGTGTGGTTACTATTGAGGAAAAGTCTTGTTTTTGGGGACTGTTTCTATGAAGATCTTAGTGCCTACTCTACCTTCTTCTCTTTCCAAAAATTTAACCTGTATACTGTTGCTAGCATCAACTGCGCTGCTCTTGGGCAGGGTCTCAAAGCAGTGCCTTGCAGACGTGTTTTCTACCTGCTGCTCGGTGCRCTATACTTATCTGAGTATATGAAAATGAATTTCAGTACTGAAGGCAGGTTGTCATAAAACCCAAATATATCCCAATTATGMGAAAAGTGGAAGCTGCAGTAGGAGAGTGGGGCATCAGATCTCTCTRTATTGTATTAACAGAAGAGTGGCCAGCAGGTGAAGAGAAGAGCTTCAGTGGAGTGCCCTCTATGTGGCATGTGTGAGGCACCACCTGCAGTACTGTGTAAAGTTTGGGCTCCGCTTGGTGAATTTAGCAGAAGCCACCAGGCTGTTGAGTAGCTGGAACACGTGAGAAAAGGGGAGAGGCTGGAAAAACTCAGTTTATGGGAAGGCAAGAACATTCTATGGTCTCCTACCCTCCTAATAGGAGGATATAGAAGAAATGGAGCCAGGCTCTTCCCACAGTTATGCAGCAAAAGGAAAAGGGGCAGCAGTCAGAATTGGCACCTGGAAAAAACTGAGGAAAAGGAAAAACTTTCATTGTAAGGGCAGGCACAGGGTTGTGCTCCACTTCCACAGAAGCTGAGCTCTCCATCCATGGAGATACTCAGTGCTGAACTGCAAAGGACCTGTCAACATGCAGCGTACAGGAGACCCYGGCCAGCAAAGATACCTTCCTCAGCACTTTCAAGAGAGACAGTGAGCAGTAAAAACTCAACCTTTTTCTAAAGCAGATGAGCTTTGTTCACACAGCACGGGTCRAGTCGCACAGGCCACTTCTGCTAAATGTTGTGTGCTTGCTCAGGACTTGTGGATGTTACTCCAAAACCAAAAACTAGTAAAAGTGAWTAGAAGTCTTTCTTATTCCTAATAGGTTTGGTTTGTGTCTTTAGGTGGTAAATGCCTTCTGCCAGCAACAGGATGCTGAGATGAAGGGGAAAGTTTTGACTCGTCTACAGAACATCACAGAGTTGCAGAACGTGCTTGGCAAATGCTTAGCAGGTGAGTTGGCACCAAAACAGAGCTTTGGCACAGATGACCTGAAGCAAATGTGCTGTCGACTGCAGCTGAGTTATGTTCATATACCGAGTTCTGTTGTGAAGAATGTAGACGTTCTATATTTGCCCTAGTTGCAAAGAGAAAGGTGTGGGCTAAAACATCAGTGAAAGTARTGTCTGTTGTATATCTTCAGTGGCTTAAAAGTTCATGTAGCAACAGCTACAGTTTTCAATTTATCTGAGTTCAACTTGCCCTTTTTTATTACCTCTTCACTGGGATTGCAAAGAAATTCACCCTCAATTCCTCTTCAACTATTCCCCAATAGGCTTGACAAAATCCACTTGACCATGATGGATACTTGGGAATAAACTGAAGTTCTATCCGTAAGAAACAGTGTGTTTCCCTGGCATTGGGGTTGTAACAAACTTTCCATTCCAATCTCTGTGAATCACAGATAAACTCCATTCTAGATAAACTCCATTCTAGATAATGAGCAGTCTCAACACCTTGAAATTGCTCCAGCTGCACTACAGGGTCAGCGATGAAAGGGCTCAAATATGATAGATTTGATTTATTTATTTATTTATTTTTAGCGTTACTAACGTGGACAATGCCCAAAGACAGCTCAGCTTTTGTAATCTTCTTTGATCAGTGGAATGCAAAGAACTGTTATTTTAGGGCAGTGTGGGAATATGGTGAGGTTGATTGAAGCTAAAAGCACTGGAACATAAGAGCAGGGGGACATTTACCAGGATGGTGAGGCACAGGGTGCTTCCTCTGGATATGCACCTTGCAGGTATCTTGTCATTCAGGAGCTAAACTAACCAAACTCTACATTTTGATTCTTCCAGCAACTCCTGGCTATGTCCCGCCACCAGCTACTTTTGATTCTGAAGCCCTGGAGGCAGTTCCATCCATCAGTGCTGTTGGTCCGGTGAAGAAAAAGAATGGTAAAGAAAGCTTGAAGTGTTTAAGCAAACAGAGGTGAAGCGAGGCTTGACTGGCATGTTGCACTACAGCCATTGCACTTGTGTGTGTAAAGCACAGAATTTATGAACTTTCTGTTTATAATTTGCAGTCTTATCTGATAACCCCTGCTGCATCCAAACTGGGGCTATATATGGAAAAAAAAATCCTACCTCGGGCAGATGGTGGGCTTAGCATCCAACAGTTACAACCTATGGCCTTCCCTGACAGTTTTCATACAGCATCACAGAATGATTGAGGTTGGAAGAGACTTCTAGAGATTGTCTAGTCCAGCCCCCCTGCTCAAGCAGGGACACCTAGAGCACGTGGCACAGGGTCCCATCCARGTGGGTTTTCACCTGCCAAAGTAGTTGCTGCAGCCATTAGTAGTTCTGCCCACGATGGGGGGCGGATTGTASAYGTGTGGTGCTGAGCTTGTGACTTGAGCTGCCTTGACGCTGTCTGTCCTCTGGGTTGTACCTAACTGCCCTCTTAGGAGCATTGCCATGGCTCTCCTGCACAAGGAAATCCTTCTTTGATCCTTTCTCTTTTCCAGCTCCCACAGAGAAGAAACGGAACTTGCCTTTCAGGTTTTTAAGCTGAATCCCTGAAGATTTGGTTTGTTCTTTATTTATAACTAAGAGTAATGTTGACTAGAAGATGGAGCTAAGCTGGAGCTAAATACATCTTCAAAAATTTACATTCCATTCAATGAAAACAAATGGAAAAGTGGCACTGATTGGAGAACCCTTTTCTCCTCTGCCTTCTCAAACTCATTTTGTAGGGACTGGACCCTTGGCACAGGTGTGTTAATAAGAGAATTATGATTGCTCTGTAGAAAACAGGATCATCCAGCACTTCAGCTAATTTATTTTGAAAAAGGAAAAGGAAGTGCTCAGACAGGTAAGCTCAGGCTAAACCATTTGCAAGAGATTCCTGAGCTCAACTTAATTACTTAAAAAAAATCAGCAAGTGCTGTCACCATGGGTGAAGCCTTGAGAAGATACAGTTATGATGCCAACCTCACTCCTAGGTGTGCAGTATCATGTTGTTTTTCAACCAAGTTTAATAGTTTGTCACCATCATGTAGAGGGATTTTTTCTACACCTCTGCTCTAAGTTGCCTGGTTTCCTGTCCCTCATTCTGGCTGTGGTGGTCTGATTTCACAGTAATTGACTTTGGCTGTTAACTTCTTGCTAGGTTGGTTCATTTTCCACTGTTTTAGCAAGTTCRTTCTTCCTGCCCAGTGATCAGACTGTCTAAATCAGTGCAAGGCAAAATTTGGGAGTGTGAGGCTGGGAGCCTGAGAAAGGTGGGAGGAGGAGCAGGGCTACCTCTATGCCAGTAGATCAGCTCAAGCATCATTGYGAAATTTAGCCCCAGGTGACACTTTAGAGGAGAGGGAGCAAGGAGCTCCTTAGAAAAGACATATTAAATTCACTTTCATGTTGAATCGGTGAGTTTATTTACTRTAACATGGAGGACTTTCATCTGTCTGACCCTGCTCTTCCAATGACACAAGCAGTCTCTTAGATGCATAAAATTCAACTTCATGAATACTGTTTTGCTTCCTTTTTGGCTCCTAAAAGAGGTCACAGGAATACAGAAGCAGAAGTCCATGATGCTTATGAGAGCAGCAATTCGAAAAGGGCAGGTGAAAACATATAGCAAATTTCACAGTTGATGGAGATTTCCTTGAGCACTTCCTTTTCCATGTTGTTTATGAGGAAGTTGCRTAAAAGCGATTCCTGAAAGGCTGCCCTTGCAGACTCCATTAGAAAAGTGTCCATTAAGCCCTTCTTTTTGCTGCTTCTCCTCTAACAAGCTTTGAATCTATAAAAGCACCTTTCTTCCCATCCCGTCCCAACTCAATTCTTTAATAGCATTTCGTGCAAAACTTTGTTAAGACTTCTTGGAGATCTKAATCTCTTCTGTCTGCTGCATCTCCCCTATCCATATGCTATCAGCACTCTGTAGAGCTGTGACAGGCTGGTGAGGCAGATTTTTCCTTTGCCATAGGCCTATAAACTCTTTTCRAATAGTCTGTTTGTTTGCATGCTCAGTGATTTTTGTTGCTGCAGACAACATGGCCATTTTCCTAGGGATGGAAATCAGATTCACTGGTCTCTAGGGAGACTCTTTGCAGTGGGATTTACACCTGTTTTAATTTCTTATTTGGCTTAAAAAACAAAACAAAACAAAAMAAAAAACAGGAAAAAAAAGTCCCAAATATGTTTGACTCTGTTTGGGACCACGATATGGATGACACGCAGTCAAAGCATGTTCTACACTTTCTTAGATCTGGTTGAAGTACAGTCTGTGCTGTTTCCCGGCTTCAAAGCCTGGATAGGTCCTTCTGTGCTGAGCACTGYGTAGCTTTGGTTTCTGAAGTTGTTTTTCTTTTCAAGGAAGGAAAAAAAAGTCTGATGGCAGCAAAACTTGCTTCGCAGACCGCTCCCAAGTGGATGAATGTTCTGAGGGAAACCAGCCTGATACTGAGCTTTCCGAGCTGGAGAAGGTAGTTACATATTGCAGGGACTTGTGAGAAGGGCAGACAAGAGGAGGTAACAGAGAAGCCTAACTTACAGACACTGAGAGAGGAGCTATTAATTGCAGAAGTTAATTGCACTTGAGAGTTTCCATTCTGCTTTCTGACATTAGCCTCCCATGTGAGTGTGGAAAACTCTGCTGTGGAGGCCAGACGTAGCATTGCAGCAATTCAGGCTGTTAGCGATCCTGATGTTTCTCARTATTATCTCAAAATTATTTGCTTTCCTCTTTTGTGCTGCTTATGGGCCACTGCCTTTCACCAAGTGCAGAATGGGTTTCCTGGTGGCTGTTAATTCATGGAAAGGAGCTGGCAAAGATTATTCCAGTTTCATGGGTAGTACGTTTCTTTTCAGAACATTTTTAGTGCCTTTTGTAGTCCAAAATGAAAATATTTTTAATTTGATGCACTCTTCTCTGCACTAACTACTGGGGATTTTTCATAATTCTCCTTCACCTTGGTGAGAAATACAGAAGGCAGTGTGAATGAAATATCTTGCTTTGAAAGTCTTGTAGGAAAGCTATAGGAAAATACGCTGGTCTAATGTCACTGGAACGATGCTGAATTAGATGTTTCCTTGGAAATCACAAGAAACAGTACTATAGGTCCTCCCCCCCCCCTCTTTCTCTCTCTTTCTCTCTCTTTCTCTCTCTTTCTCTCTCTTTCTCTCTCTTTCTCTCTCTTTCTCTCTCTTT